TACTCCAGCTCCAAGGCGAGATGTCGATGCAAGGTTCGAAGGATCCACCAGCAGCGTAGGTTCTGGTGAGGCTTGCAGGCCACTGGCAACAGCGGCGGCTGAGACGGACAGGACGCGGAACATCTTCGAAGCAAAGAGAGCTGAACCAACAGTGAATACGAACTGAGTGTCTGAGTGCCAAAATTTGCTCGAACCAGCGACAAGAGAGACTATGATAATGGTGAAAAGGAGGATGGCCAGAAGGGAGGCCATTAAGGGCGTAGGTGGTCTAGGGTGTTCTGTCTTCCATCTGCTCCTCTTCCCCTTCGGGGAGGGGTTTATCACTGTTCCTTATTAGTATACACCCCCTCCCCCAACCGGCTGGCGACCAACCTGGAACCATGCCGGCTCCATGCGGGCCCGCCCCCCACTATCCCTGTCAAAAAATACAAACAGCACTTTGCCTCCAAATTTGGAGCATACGCGGCCAACCCGATGCGCCCCCCCCCCCCACCATCCCTGTCAACAAACAATGCGAAGTCCATTTTGGGGCAGAGTCTTGAGTCATGTTTTTTTTCTCTGGAGAAGGGAAGCAGGAATGTGGAGACCACGCCCATCGATAAGCAACGCACCACTCATCACTCGCTTCTCTCGGTGCAGTCAGCGATTATTGGCGACATGGGCCATGCGGATAAAACCGACTGTAATAGCTGATTCCCGCGTCGCTCGAATGCCTCAATGAAAACGCGGCTACCATGAGAACTCGCGTGTGCGTGCCCCATACAGGTACACCCTTGCAGGACTCTCACTGGTGCCCGACGCAAGTGTGGAGGAGGGCGAACAAAGGAGGCGGAGAAACGTAAAACAAATACCTGCAGGAGATTCGATGCCGAAGCGGAGGAGCCGACACCACGAGCGGGCAGCGTACAATGCAGCAGGCAGCCCTATATCATAATCGACACTTGAAGTAAATAGCAACGCGGGGACCGTGCCCTCGCGGCTGAGTGGGGCAACGCTCCTGGAGCCGCCAGAATACGCGCGCCAAGGGGATGGGACGGTTTGTGCTTCTCTTTCTCCCCCTCCCCCTGACAACGATGAGGAGGCTGACGAAGAGGACGGCAGGGCCGACAAGCCTGCAGCAGAGGAGGCACGGCTGCGGCACTGTCAGAATTGCTGGCCACAGCGTGCCAGGCAGGAAAGAGCCTCTTTGACCTGCACGGTGGCTGGCGAACATAGAGCTGTATGTGTATGTATATATATATATATATATATGATGGGAGGGAGAAGATCGAGATGGGAGCGGACACCGACTGATCTGCCTCCGAAACGCCTCCAAGACGCACTCACGAGGTACAGGAGGGGGAGGCGGGGGAAGAAAGAAGGAGGGAGAGGGGGAGAACAAGACGGAGGACAGGGACGTGCGGGGTCGGGACCCGCGACGCCTCGGACACGGCACCGGCTCGGGGCGGACGGTCGGCTCCGCCTGCTGCCCACCGCCCTGCTGCGCTGGCACGGCGGCGGGGGTTGCCGCAGGCAGCTGGATTCTCTTGGACCAGGAGGACGGGGACGGGGGTAGGGCGACGAAATCTATACATATCCACTGCTCCCTGGCCAGGCCCATCCTCAACCCCGCAGCGGTGTATACGCCACGCCCTCCTGGCTTGGCCAGGAGGGCGCATACACAGCTCCTGGGTTCAAGATGGGCATGGTCAGGGAGCAGTGGATATGTATAGATTTCGTCGCCCGAGAGGGGGAGACCCCCCTCTGACCGGGGAAACAAAAAACCAGACCGAGGAAAAACCCCAAAGCGGGGAAAAAGCCAGAACGAGGACAGAGCCAAAGAGAGGAAACAAAAAACAAGCCGAAAAGAACACGATTGTAGAAAGAGGGAACAAATCGAGGAAGCATACACCCTAAGGGATAGCACGAAAAGAGGAAACAAAATGAGGAAAAAACAACCCGAGGAAAAAACAAACCCAATGAGAAAAGCAAATAACATGTTTGAACTATAATTACCGAATATATATATATATATATAAGTGTATGTATATGTATGTGTGTGTTCCTTGATTGTCCTCTCTCTTGCCCTCTTTTTTGTGATCTCTATCACACTATGTCTATATCTCTCTCTCTCTCTGTCCATACCTCTCTCTCTCTCTCTATCTCTCGTTATATTTCCCTTTCTCTCTGTCTCTCTCTCTCTCTCTCTTTTTCTCTCTCTCTCTCTCTCTCTCTCTCTCTTTCTCTCTTTCCCACCACGAGACACCATGGCCTCCAAGATGGGTCAAGACAGCGCAGCATGCCTCAAGATGGCTTCCAACATGGTCCAAGGTGCCTCAAAGAAAGTTTCACGATGGCCCTAAGTGGCCAAAGAGCTCCCAAAGGAAACCCCGAAGAGGCCCCAAATCCTTCCAAATCAATGTGTGTGTTGCTTTCTCGCCTTTTCGCTTCTGATGACCATGGCTTCAAGATGGCTCCAAGATGGGCCAACAGGGCCAACAGGGATGATACGCACGATGACAAATATGGTGATGATGATGATGAGGTTGATGATGATGGTGGTGGTGCGGATGATGATGATGATGATGCTGATGATGATGATGATGATGGTGATGATGATGATGATGATGATGGTGATGGTGATGATGATTATGATTATTAGTATGATGGTGATGACAGATTTGACGATGGTAGATGATGATGGTGGTGGTGATGATGACTATGATGATGGTGTTGCTGCTGACGATGATGATGCTGCTGATGGTGATGATGGTGATCAGGATGGGGTTGTTCCCCGTGTCCAGTGGATGTGGTTCTCGTTCCCCATATCCAAGGGATGAGGTTATTGTTATTACTCTGACCGCACCGAGAGGGAACCCCTCACACGTCCTGGCTCTCCTCCCCATTCCTCTCTCAGAGTTCATTACGTGATGGCGATAATGCTGATGGTGATGGTGTGGGTTGATGGTGATTGTGGTGATGACGAAGGTCGTGATGCACAGAGAGGAGGCTGATACTCACGAGGAGTGATGATGATGATGGATCTTCTGATCAGAGATGATGTTGGTGGTGATGACGATGATGATGATGTTGAGTATGATGCAGTTGGTGATGATGATGCTTGTGATGATGCGATGATGATGACGACCAAGACGGTGTTGCCCCCCCATATCCAAAGGATGGGGTTCGTGATGCTACTGTGGCCGTGCCAACTCCCATTCTTACCTGCGCATTATCAGACCCACTCGTACTCAGACTCTCTCATGCCAAGATTAACTGACACCCATACTCAACCATACCAGGGTTCATTCGCATTCAGACTCACTCACACTCAGATCACTCGTGCCCAGATTTGCTCAGTCTTCCCCCTGTTGCTGGTCCAATGCTCCCCCCCCTCTTCCACTTGTGTTTCCCTCAGCTCTCCTGGAAGGTGACAACTGAAGTCACTGGAATCGTCGCTGTCGCCGTCGTCGTTGTCGCGCCCGTCGTCCACGCTGACTCGCTCTCACACCTAGATGCTCACAGCAGAGGTCTTCAGCGAGAAGCGACAGGAGGATGAGATGAACATTTGGGGGGTTCCACGTAGCACGTAGTGCCCCATATCCAAGGGATGGGGATCTTGCTATTACCCCGACCGCGCCGACTCACTCACCCACCCCGCACCCTCCTCCTCTTCGTTCTCATGTTGCGTGATGATTTGCTATGACATGCTATTTGATCTTGTACGATATGATAATATGTTATGGTTCCCTTATCCAAAGGATGAGCGTCTTGTTCCCGATATCAAACAGGATGGGGGTCTTGTTCTCCATATCCCAAGGATAGAGTATTGGTTCCCCCATCTCCAAAAATTGTGGTTATTGTTCCCCAGATCCAAACGATGGTGTTCTTCTTATCATCATCATCATCATCATCATCATCATCATCATCATCATCATCATCATCATCATCATCATCATCGTCATCGTCATCGTCATCGTCATCGTCATCATCATCATCATCATCATCATCATCATCAGCAGCATAATCATCAGCAGCAGCAGCAGCAACATCATCAGCATCAGCATCAGCATCGGCATCAGCATCAGCATCATCATCACCATCATCAGCATCATCATCATCACCGCCATCAGCTTCGGCACAACCCTCACACGTTTCGTGGCCCCATAGGGAGCTCCACCAAAAGCCCCAGTGGAAGGATTCGCGTGGCGGCCCCGCACAATTTCGACGCACCCCTCAACACAGCTTCGGCACAACCCTCACACGTTTCGTGGCCCCATAGGGAGCTCCACCAAAAGCCCCAGTAGAAGGATTCGCGTGGCGGCCCCGCACAATTTCGACACACCCCTCAACACGTTTCGTGGCCCCAAAGGAGCTCCACCGAAGGCCCCAGTGGCAGGGTTCGCATGGCTGCCCTCACCCATTTCGGCGCACCCCTCGGTTTCCTGGGTCGCCCTGGTCCTTTCCGCCCCATTTCGCATGGCGGCCCCACCCCATGTAGTTTTCCTGGGTTTCCTCGGGTTCGGGTTCTCCTCGGTTTGGGTTTTTTCCTCGGTTTGGGTTCTTCCTCGGTTTGGTGTTTTCCTCGGTTTGGGTTTTTCCTTGGTTTGGGTTGTTCCTCGATTCGGGTGTTTCCTCGGTTTGGGTTTCTCCTTTGCTTATTTTCCTTTATTTTCCTCAGTTGGGTTTTTTCCTCGGTTTCGGTTGTTCCTCGGTTTGGGATTTTTCTCGGTTTGTCTTCGGCTTCCTCGGTTAAGAAGGAGTCCCGACGAGGGGGGCGACAATGACTCGACACAGCCGACGAGGAGCCTCAGCAGGAGCCGCCTCTTCTTGGCGGTACGCCAAAGGGGGTGTCCCGGGGAGGGGGCCTTCTAAGAAGGCAGGGGGCAAGGACCATGGCTTCTGACGAGGCCTCTTGGAAGCCACCGAGCCTCTCTCGGCAGCACCCTGCCCTCTTCGCGGGCCTCCCCCCTGGCGATCCACCCCCCTGAGCGCGCCGCCTTTCTTTTCTGAGTCTGGAGTCACGAAGGCGTCGCCGGTTCGGAAACGCCCGTCCGCGAGCCATCCTCGGACCCCTCGGCGGAACCCACGGCTGCCACCGCGGCTGTCGCGGCAGCGATCTCCAGGGGGTACCTCTGGTCCACGAGGGTGCGCCAGCGCTCGAATTCCGCCTTCACCATCACCTCCAGCTCCTTCTGGGCATGGTCGGCATGGATAAGCTCGTGCTTTATCTCCTTGAGCCGGCCCATGCCGCGATGGTAGCTCTGGCTCTTCTCCTCCAGGATCCCTTTTATCCGGGGCTCCTCGGCGGCGATGAGGCCGCGCAGCGTGTCCGCGCGCTGCCGAGCCAACGAGTCTATGCTGGCCGCATCCTCAGCCTCGCGAAGCTTTCCCTTGAGGCTGTCAAGGGCCACCTGCACCTGGTCCATGGCATCCCTGGTGCCACCGACTTCCTCGCCCAGCCTCTTAGCCTCCTCCATGAGCTCCCTCTTGGTGGTCCGCTGCCTCTGCAGCTCCACCTGCCAGATGTCGCCAGCGCGAGGGTCCTTCGTCAGGAACACGCGGTAGGCCCCGGAGCGGCTCCCGCAGGCTGCGAGCTCATCCTCCGTGAGCGCGGACGTGGCCCGCAGCCACGCGTCCGAGGTCCGGGCCGGGCGACAGGGGGGGATAGCAGAGGGGGGGCTCGAGAACCAGCTCACGCAGCTGATTTTCTCCCGGCGCCTCCCAGCGCCGGAGGCGGCGATGTGTCGAGGAATGGGCCCCTCGGCGGGGCCGAAGCCAGCTGCACACCGCAGATTTCGCACCGCCCCCCCTTTCCCAATGCCCCCCTTTCGTCTGGCCCGAGAGGTCCGAGACCCGCCGCGGTCCTCCGACACTGGAGCCGCGGGCTCCGCCAGCGCCGCGGCGAGGGCAGGACCGAGCAGCGTCCTGCCCGCGCCCACGGGGTCGGCGGCGGCAGCGCTGGCCCGGGCCGAGCGCGGCCGCGCGGCTTCGCCAGCGACCGCCCCGGCCGGCGGCGGCAGGCGGGGGGGGGCAGAGGAGCTGCAGTGAGGGGCAGCGATAGGGGGAAGAGGCACAGGGGGGATGCATCGACCTGGAATCGGCGATGCATCGCCGATAGGTCGGCGACAGGCCCCCGAGAGCGAATCCGCACCTTCCTGGGCAGGGTGGGGCTATCGGGCCCCTATCGGCGATCCATGGGCGATTGGGGATCGATGCATCCCCCCCCATGCCTATCCCCCCCGATCGTTACCCCTGATGCACAAGGTCCGCTCGTGGTCCGCGGAGGCCGAGTGGCTCGGCGCACTCGACGTCGACCTCGCCGCCGTCGAGAGCGTGGCAGCGGCGCTCGGGGCTGGCGTGCTGCGGCCGCTGCTCGCCGCGAAGTCCGCCGCGCTGACCGCCGCTCGGCGCGGCTCGCTGGACGCCGCGCGCCGCGGCTTCGCGACGGGCTTCGGCCTCGGAGCCGGTACCCTTCCGGACGACGAGAGGGCCGCGAGCGCGGACTTGAGCCTCTTGCACTCGCCCTGGGAGGCGATCAGCACGGACCGGAGGCGCGCAGAAGGGAGGCACATTGCGAGGGGCTCGCCTTCCGAGAGGCCAGCGGGCTTCTTAGAAGTCCAGCTCGCACGCTCGAGAGGCCCTCAGAGGCAAGCCTCAGGGTCCAGACTTGAGGAGAGGCACCCCCTGGTCCCCTCGCGGCCAACCACCCCTTGTGCGCGCCGCCGCGATGGTCTGAAGCTTCGTCTCCCTGGACGAGTTCGCGGACGCCTTCCGCGTGGGCCGCGGCGGCGGCTGCGCCGCGAGCGCCGCGCGCAGCATCCGGCACTCCGCCTGGCACTCGGCCAGCGCAGCGCGATCCGCGCCGCCGCCCGCCCCGGACCTGCCCTGGGAGGCCGGCTCCGCGTCGTCGCAGAGCTCCGGCGCGGGGCTGCCGCGCGCACTCTCCGGGATGGCGTCGGCCGCGCGCCCGCCCGCGCGCAGGCGCTCCCAGAAGAGCTCCCGGAACAGGCGGAAGGCCGCCACGGCACCCTGCGGCATGGGACCCACCTTCAGGGAGGCGCCGCCCGCCGCGCCGCCGCCGTCCTCCTCGAGGAAGTTCTGGATGCGCACCCTCGTGGGCGAGCGCGCTCCACTGCTCGCAGAAGTCAGTGCTCGCCAAAATGGCCTGGATCCGCCGCGGAGGGTCTACGACAAATTACCTCGAGGCGAGCGCGTGTGTTTCGGGGCGTCTGCGAGTGGGCACTCTGCGGGCAGTGGAGCGCGCCCGGTGACGCCTCAGCTGGTCGTCCGGGACAGGCGGCTCTCCTGGGTCGCCTGCCCCCCCGCCGGCGGCCAGCGCCTCCAGCTCGGCGTTCCTCCGCCTCAGCTCGGCGATGAGCAGCTGCGGGTCTCGCTCCTCGTTTACCTTCGCGGCCGTCCTCACGTTTGCGACCCGCTGTGCAAATCGGCAGGAGTTGATCGTCTCGGGGAGGGACGCGTCGGCTGGATCCACTGTACACACCATCGCCGCTTTCGCGTTCCCGCCCAGCGCATCCTTGAGGAGCTTTGTGAGGAATGAGTTCCTGTGGGGCACCATCTTTGCCTTCTTGCCCAGGGCGGTGATCACCTCGGACAAGTGGTGCAGCGAGAGGTTGATGGCTACGGCCTCATTCATCAGCCCCTTCGTCTCCTGCGAGCCCTTCTCGTAGGGCTTCAGCCGCTCCGAGCCTGCGAGGTCCACGATCTGTATCTTCGATGTCCGCACCGTTTGCGTGGCCGGGTCGGACGCCTCGATGAAGATCGTGCAGACGCAGTGGGAGCGCGAAGACCGCTGGTTGTGTGCAGTCTCCGCGACGGCGCGGTGCACCTCGCCCTGACAGTACTGCTGCAGTCCGTCCTCCTCGGAGGCAAGGGCCACGCGTTTGGCCCCGATCATGACTGGCTCCTCGCCCTTCCGCAGCGACACCGTGACTGGAGGCAGCGCCCTATTGGCATCCGCCGCGACCCTCGCCAGGAGGTCCCTGCCCACCTCCTTTGAAGGGGCCCTGGGACACACAAATTCGCCGGCCCAACGGGCCAGGGCGTGCTAAGATCTCCGGTGCCTGGTTAACAGTATTTCTAGTTCGCGCGCGCGGGGCGGCCCCTGGGGGTCCCCGGACGAAAACTAGCCCGGCAAGGTCCCGGCAAGTCCCCGGCAAGGTCCCGGCAAGGTCGGGTCAGAGATGCCGGAGTTCTGTTTCGGAGTCCAAGAGGGCTCCAGATCGGTCCAAGAGGGCCCCGAGAAGCTTTCTAGACGGTCCAAGAGAGGCCCGAGACGGCCAAAGATCGCCCGAAGACGCCCCAGATGGCCCCAAGACAGCCCAAGAGGCCTCCAAGACGCTCCAAGGGCCTTCCAAGAGGCCTCCGAAGAGGGCCCCAAGTTGCCAAAATCGTTGATTTTCATTGGTTTTTTCTATGTTTTTTTGCGTTCTGGCTTTTCGCTTCCGGACGCTCCAAGAGGGCCCAAGAGGCCTTCAAGACTGCTCCAAGACGGCCCACGAGGCTCCCAAGACGGCCCCGGAGCGGCCCAAGAGCGCCCCCCAGACGGCCCAAGTGCTGCCCAAGGCGGACCAAGAGGCCCCAAGACGGGCCCAAGAGGGGCTCAAGAAGGGAACCGAGAACTGAAAAATCGAGCCCTCCGCCCCAGAAGGCGCCCAGGACCCCGAAAGAGGCCCCAAGAGACTCTCCAAGACACCCCCAAGACGCCCCAATAAGCTCCCGTGAGGCCCCAAGAGGACCAACAACGTCAGGCCCCAGGCCCCAAGAGGACCAACAAATACCGCCAAGAGCCCGCCGAAAGCCCCCCAAGAGACCGTCACGAGAGCTCAGGAGGCCCCCTGGAGGCCTCCCGAGTTCTCAAAGAGGCCTAAAAAGAGGCGCCAAGAGGCCCCAAACGGCCCCACCGAGGCTCCAAGAGGCCACGAACGCGCAAGCAAACGCTTGCGATGGCACAATACGGGCCGGCGGAATGAGCGAAGCGATTAAATAAATACACACAAATAACGAATTTCACAATATTTTCCCATATTTTCTGTGTTTTTGTCTTCCCCCCCACTTCCCATGTTTGCCCATATTTTCCGGGGAATCGACGATCAATTGTGCCTGTGTGTTTTTCACCTCCTGATCCTTGTAAATCTCGATCATGGACATGGAAACGCTGTAGAGAACCCCATCGTCGCGCGAGTCGATCCCGTCGAAGATAGAGCTCAGGGTCCGTGGGATGATGCCCCTGTCGCGCATGTAGTTGGCCTTCCCCCCGCACATCGTGAAAGTCTTGCCGCTGCCGGTCTGGCCATACGCGAACAGCGTACAGTTGACCCCGTCCAGGGCTCCAGTCACTAGACTCCGGGCCACCCTATCGAAGACCCACTGCTGCGAGGAGTCCGGCCCGAACACCTCGGTGAAGGGATACGAGAAGCTCTCCACCGACTCCGAGCCCCGCGCCACCAGCACATCCAGCGACTTGCCCCCTGGCGGCAGCCTGACGCTGGCGGAGGGCTGCTCCGAGGGCTTCACGCGCGCGAAGACGGAGATGAAATCGCTCCCCGAGGCCATCGCCGCAGTGGCTTTCGGCGGCTGGCTCCGCGGCCTGAGCCATGTCATGCGGGGCGCCCACCAGTGAACCCTACCCTTGCAGGTCAGGTTCCTGAGGCACGGGCGCGGGTTCAGAATATGAAGGACGTCTGCAGACGATTCAAGCCCAGCGGGTGTCCGGTGTCCCAGCGCCGATTAGACACGAGGGGACAAGGCTTGTAATCCCACCAGCCCTCTGGGCGTAGGTGGTGTCACAGGATTCTGTCTGTCCTCGTACACAAAGACCCTCTTCCCCTTCGGGGAGGGGTTGATCACTGTTCCCTATGAATATACAGCCCCTCCCCCAAGCGACTGCGAGCCAACAAGGAACAATGCGGGCACCCCCCCACCATTCCTTGTAAAAAACTATACAAACACACACACACACACACACACACACACACACACACACACACACACTCTGCCTTCAAATTCTGAACATTCGCAACGAACCCAATGCGGCCCCCCCCAACCATCCCTGCCAAAAAAAAACAGAGTACACTTGGCGGCGGCGGCGGCTGCGACGGCTGCGGCGGGGGCAGCGGCTGCGGCGGCTGCGGCGGTGGCGGCGGCGGCGGCGGGGGGGCGGCGGCGGCGGGGGCGGCGGCGCGGCGGCGGCGGCGGCAGCGGTGGCGGCGACAGCTGCGACGGCTGCGGCGGGGGCAGCGGCTGCGGCGGTTGCGGCGGTGGCGGCGGCGGCGGCGGCGGGGCGGCGGCGGCGGCACCGGGCGGGGCGGCGGCGGCGGCGGCGCGGCGGCACCGGTGGCGGCAACGGCTGCGGCGGCAGCGGCTCGACGACGGCGATTCGGCAGCGGCGTCGGCGGCGGCGGCGGCGGGCGGCGCGGCGGCGGCGGCGGCGGCGGAGGCGGCGGCGGCGGCGGACTCGCCCCGAGTAGCTCCCCATCCAAAGACGACTGCTGAACATACTGCGGGTCAAGCAGGCTCCGGTGCTACGTATGCGTTGGGAGGGCGAGTGGGAGTGAGCGAGACGGCTTGCGGGCGGGGAGGGAGTCTTGACCCCTCCCCTTACCCCCATCCCCTGGACTTTTGGGCGGCGGTCGCGAGTGGTTGGAGGGCCCTTCTTCGGCCCCTGGGAGGGCCAAATTTTGACGCCACTCACGAGGATCGTGGCCCCCGAAGGGGGGGGGGGGGGGCGATCGGGACCCTCCCCCCTTTGATCGATAGATAGCCTCGAAGATGGCTCCGAGAGGCGTTCCAGGGCTCCCAAGACAACCCCAAGAGAGCCCCCAGAGGGCCCCAAGAGGGTCCCAAGAGGGCCCCAAGAGGCACCCGAAAGGCCCCCAAGAGGCCCCCGAGCGGCCTCAGATAGCCCAAGATAACCTCCAAGATGGCTCAGATAGTTTGAAGGGGGCTGGGAGGCCCGCCAACAGCTTCGTCCCAGGCGAAACCAAGCTCCAGCTCGGTTGTATCGTAGTAGCGATAGTCCCAATGCAAAAGGGGATGCCATGTCAAGTAAAAGGGGATGCCTGCTAGTATCGATAGCGATAGTGTGCCTCGCGGTGAGGCACAATCAAATCTAGGCGGCCGGCCGCTTGAGCCAAAATGGCCGCGGGCGCGCCCTCGCTTCCGCTCCTTACGTCCCCCATCTTACTTTAGAGTCGGGGGGGGGGAGACGAAGCGCGCGTCCGCCACCCATCAAGCGAGAACAATTCAGCAGCTAACCGATACGGAGACAGGAAGGAAGACGGACCCAAAGAAGTTGGACCCGTCAGCGAGTTGCCTCGCGAATGTACGGCATACGCATCAGGCGGCGTCAGAACTTGATGTCTGGCCGGCCCGATCATCTTTGAAGGTCTGTATACCTCCCATGACTTGTAGGGGCATTTCTCTGTCAATGCTCCCTTTTGTGTGTCCATCCGCAGTCATATCGCGGGTACCACACCACTGAATGCTATCCACGATTCCGCGCTCCATCATCTGTCGTATCCAACTAAGGTGTCCTAAAAGGGTACACTCAGTCGGCTTCTTCAAGTCTTTGCTTGACAAGGCCTTGAAGACAGACTCAGCATCGATGGTCAAAGTGACCTTGATGCACAGGCCACCCCACTCAAGGATGTCTTTCAATGAGTGGGTGTGAGTGGCCCCGCATGGAGCTCGCGCAGAGTCACAATCGTGGGATAACAGTCCTCAGAATTATGGGATGTTGCAAGTGTCTCTGCGCTGAGTAGCTTGAGCGGACTTGCAAGCGGTGAGACTTGCAGTACGCACCACTCAAGTGAACGACAGGCTTGCGAGATGACGTGTTTCCACGTCGTAGCAGGCTTGCCCCGCGAATGCCATAGCCTTTGACGTCGCAATCGGCGTCTCCACCCAGGCGTCGATAGCCTGAGTCGCTATCTAAGTCGACCTCGCCCGTGGGGTTCATCGCCTGGTAGACGATCTTCTTCGGGCAGGCCTGTAACTTTTGGTGATCGCGTTTTATCGTCGCACTTGAATATTGGTCGGTTCTTGGACACGTTGGAGAGATACCGCATAGACCATCAGCCAGATCTGGGTGATCAACGCGCATGCCAGCGCACCTCTGAGGCTGACGAACATATCTGCCACCATCTTGGTCGCTTGAGTGTCAGCGTCCGCGCCGGTCAATTCACTTGGTGTACCTCACAGCAGAGATCGTATGTGTGTGCTTGTTGTGTCTACACTTACCAAAGGTACCCTCAACGCATTTGCAGACTTGTCAATGGTGTCCTCAGTACCGGCCATGTTAATGCCATCAACATGTTTAGCCGTGAGCAATTGAGCGCTCGTCTCGAACTCCTCGTCGTAAGACGTGGGTCGGAGGCCAAATCCTCTGGGGGCTCTCCTGAGCTTAAGTGAGAAAGCCCGTGGGGCGTTCTTAGTGCCTGTGCCCGGTGTCAAGCACTGCAGACAGTGCTTTGACTCGTCGTAGCTCAAACCCTGGAAGAGCACGGAGCACAATTGCCGACCCAGGCGGCAAAGTAAAGCACGCCACACGTTCCTTCGGCGAGTTCTCGATTGGTCAATCCCTTTAGGAAGGCCATGTTGATGTCCAGGGAAGCAATGATCCACTGTCTCTTGCACGCTGCCGCGCTGGCAAGTAACCTCTGGCTTGACCTTCTGGCTGTTCCCGAAAATGTCTCTACATCGAATGCTTCTAGGCCCATGAAGCCTCGAAGTACCAAACGAAGTCGGATGGTGCGTTCCATCTCACCCTTATCGTTTTTGAAACGAATTTACATGTGTATACATACCTCAAAGTCATGATGTCCGACGCTTTGGCGATCTCCTGCAGTTTGAAGCATTCATTGTCGAACCAAGTCTTGAGTTCCGTGAAAAGGCCTTCGATACTTTCTCGGGATTCGCCTGGATGCCAGCCTTAGTGAGGAGGTCGTCTTCCCTGACGACCACAGCTCGCTCTGCAGAGGCAGCAACATATACTCGCATGGTGGTCACCCGGTCGGCATCCAACAGCATTTGTTGCTGCTCGGACAAGACTACCTTTGACATCTCTGTTGTCAAAAAGAATTCAGCGCATGGACCGTTTTCGCCAGAGTCGAGTCCATAGCTGTCGCCTTCGACCAGGGTGCACAAGGGAGCGCAGTACGTTTCCTCAGTATCAGGATCATGTGTGCGTCCCCACTTCGGCAGGTGCCCCCGCTGTTCATCAGCTACAGTGATCAACACACTCTGGTCAGGAACCATATGTGTGGGTACGGTAAAGACTTCTTCTAGTGGAGCTGCCTCCAAGAATTCCTTTTCCTCTCGCAACTCTGCGTACCATACCTCCATAACATGTGACTCAAGGTCAGCTTCTGATTCTTCGTAGATCGTAGACAGCCGTCCGTCATCATGTTCTGGCTCGGCTTCTGAAGCCTCTCTAGCGGCTCCATCAGGTGTCGGCGCATCAGCCAAGTCCTCGAACTTTGACATATCCTGATCGAAGCCTGCCTGAGGTTTGGTGGACTCCAGGCATTGGATGATTCGTGAGTGTGCTGATCCAGTTATATCATGTATATTCAGAGCAGTACTTTCTGCTCCATAATACTGGAATCCTGGATTCACGTCGTTATCGTAATGAACCAATGTGCAACTGTCAGCATAGGTAACCGAAAATAGCTCATGAATACTCTTGGCTAATCTGACCGAAACAACATTCTCGATGCGGAAGAAAATTATGATGAGACGTTGTAGGGCCAAGTGTACCACTGGAGATAGGCGACTTGCCGTTGTCATCTGAAGCGTACCTTTCCTGGTCGGCACATAGCCAAATGTCAACGCAGGTCTCCCCGCTGATAAGCGAGCTACAAATGTCAACACTGTGCGTAGTGCAGGAGCCAATCTCTCGGGCTACGAGTGCTTCCATGTCGAGCGAGTGCCTTGCATCGCCGTATTGTACTTGAACATCCCGGCTGCCTACTCGGATGATGACCTGCCCCCTTTTTTCCGGATGATTCTTCACGACTGGGAACGGACCATTCCAACCTCCCCAGTCATCCTTAGTAGTCGTAGGGCGATGGTAGTCAGACAAATCTCCTTCGTCATAACAACGTTGACCTGTAATTGTCGTCTTAGTGCGTAAAGCACGATTGGTCTTAGCTACTGCCGTGGCCTGTGAGATCGCCTCAATGCATACCCTGCGTATTGTCTGTTCACGAGAATGATCTGATGTTTCTGTCGACTGTCAGTGGTCCAGAACAGGGAGGTCAGGGAGCATTGCTGGTTGCCGTCCAAATAGTGCATTGTAAGGAGACACCTCGTTGTAGAAAGTGAATGCGTTGGCAGCAAACAAGGCTTCATGCAGTAGTCTAGTGAGCACAAGAGGTATGTCTAACCTATGGAGTTCAGCCTCCATTACGTGGAGTAGATGACGTAGGATGCCATTTATGGCCTCGATCGTCGTAGCGTGCTGTCCACGCGCACGTATTCGAAGTTCAGTGCCTTTTGCCTTGAGGACTGCTTTCGAGGTATCAGTATTAAAGGCACCGTCTCCATCCGAGTAAAGTACCTGAGCTGGTCCAAACTGCATCCAGCACTGATGAGATGCATCCAAGATAGTAGTCATCGTTTTATCTGGTATTCCCATACCAATAG